TTGGTTCTGACAGTTCTAACCCCTGATTGGTTCTGACAGTTCTAACACCTGATTGGTTTTGACAATTCTGACAGTTACAGTTGCTAGTATAAATACCCTGGCGCGTTACCGGGCGTTTTGAATTGCTGTCATCTCTGTATTCAATAAACATCTTGTTCTTGAACATCCTGGCTCCTGCGTCTTCCCTCAATACACAAAACAAGCGACATTTTTTGTTGTTGTTGTGTGGGAACTTTAGATTCCACCTGGCCTTATGCAATCAGCATCTCTTAGTAAAAGTACCTTTTGCTTCAACCAAATGAAATTGAGAGTTTTCCTTCCCTAAGGGTTCAGACTGGGGCAGGTCTGATAAATACATACATTCTGTTCACTCAAGGTTGGTCTAATTATGGTTTTGTGAATAAATTACATACAACACAAACATTTGATAGATGATCCTAAACCAAAGTGTCCAAGCTGTATTTACGTAGGATGACATTTCCACAGGGTTGTAGTCCACCTTTTTAGAATAAAGGTTAAGAAATGTATAGATATTCTTAGCCTTCTTTTTCAATATAAAAATTCTATTGGACCATGTAGAAAAAGTACCTAACAAACCTTTGATCTGCTTACTCAATTTCCCTATCATTCTTTGCTTTTACAGCTTTTATCTTGTTCTTCTTTCAAAGATCCAAGAGATTATTAGAATGCCACCCATTAAAATTAGTGAGTAATGTAATGATACATGAAGTAATCATTCATTTTTATTTGCATTGTGGATAAGAATCTGATATCTTTTCCTTTTTTTCAATCTAATGAGAGAGAAAGTTCGCCAGCCCAAATCTTCTATCATCAACGGGAAGAGAAGTTACAATCATCTTCCAACGATTGACTTTCTTGGGGTGGATAGTAGAATATTAACAGAGCCTCTGGTTGTCATGACAAATTCAGAGGCTGTTCTGAACATAATCTCATTAGGGAGGGAGGGATGCAGAAATATGAGATCATGACATTGTTAGGCTTATAAATTGTCAGAGCTCTGAGCTGCTGGCAGACTGAACTCTATGAAAGAAAGTGGAATCAAAAACACAAGTGGGTTGAGGCTATAAAACTATAAGAAGACCATAAGAAACTTCTGCTAAAAATTACCTCAAGATCCAAGGAAAAGTCTATCTTTTTAGTGGACTTTGCAGTACAATTTTGAAATATGTGTTGTGGAGGATGTGCCAAGTGTCTTGGAGTTACTCTCATTCCTTTAACTATACTATGCGTTCTTGCCAATATTCTGTTATTTTTTCCTGGAGGAACAATTGAAATTAGCGACCATATTTCAGATGAAGTTTGGTACCTTGGAGGAATTTTGGGTTCTGGTGTACTGGTAAGTATATCGAGTACCCTGTTCTTTTTCTATTTATCATCAAGAGTTTACAGGCTTTATAGAAGTTCATCTATGGATACACAGAACTTTGTTGCGATCTATCATTGGAATTAAATTATTATCTGATGAATAAACCGGATTGAAATTAAAAATATAAACTGAATATGAATTAAATCTGTTATTAAGAGAACAGATGCCGATCTGATGATGCAGTAACAACAACATATATATCTAGATGTTTTTGGTGAATAAATAGATAAACATCATTTTGTTAGATCAAACCAACACTTTATTAGCCTAGCATTGTTTTGTTAGAGCAGTAACCAATGCAGATTAGAAATGAATATAAACAGATTTCTATAAAATGTATTACTGGTTACCTTTCCTCTTTTTTCTATTTGGTTTTTCTTTTTGTGTTGGGATATTTCCAGTCAGAGGCTAATCGTTAAACTTGAAAGTCATTCCCATTGCATTCAGTGGCTTTTTCCAGTTCAATGTGCTTACGGTGACCACATCATTGGACTAGAATAATCCTGTTGCTTACACAATTGTAAAGCTGTTGGTTGCAATGATGACATTTCAGCAAGAAAGAAAAAATAATATTGTAGCATCCAGATTAGATGCAACTAACTAGAGAAAGATTATTGCCTCATTGTGATTTTCTGTTTTATCCAGATGGTGTTTCCTGCTTTGGTCTTTTTGGGTCTTAAGAATAATGATTGTTGTGGATGCTGTGGAAATGAAAGCTGTGGAAAAAGATTTGCGGTAATTATGGAAGGAATAAGAACCTCCAATCCCAATCTAATGATTAAGAAGAAAATATATATTCCATTCATCATTACACTACCATTGTAGAGGATGGCCTTGATAATTAGGCTCCATTTGAGCCTGTTTCACCCAAAGAAATACTTAAGAAAAAAGCATTTTAGATTTTAGATAATATTAGATTTCTTAGATGCACTCTGTATTTGGAAGTTTTAGGATGGCAGAAAATTCTATAAAGCAATGATGTGGGGTAAAATTCCACATCCCTTGTTAATAAATTGGGTGAGTCTCCATTGTATTATTATCATAGAAAAAGGATTTTATAAATCCTTTTTCTAACCATTTTCCATGTTGTATCTATGATTTTATTATCCTGGATCATGGTTCTACGCCTTGATCTTTTTGCTGTCTTTTTTCCTAAAATAGATTCCATAGCCTGACTCTTTTTTGACCCTTTCTGTGACCCCAAAGGGATTGGGGCCAGGACAAAATATGATTTAATTAAATGGAATACTGATAGTAATAAGCTAATATATTAATTAGCTAGTTAGTACAGTTTCCCCCTATATGCTTAATCATTTCCCCCTTCTGTTAGATTAACAATTGTAATCTAGTTGCAACATGTGGTGGGGCTTTATGGGTTTACACCAGTGGTGTGTTGCCAATATTTTTACTACCGATTTGTGGGCTCAACACTTCTGTGCATGTGCAGAAGTGTTTGGGCGGGTGAGCAGAGCCTCCCACCACCACTACTACCAATTCACCTGATCTGGGCCAGACCGGGAGCAACCCACCTCTTTACATCCAGGACGTTGAAGGTTAAATTGGTCAAACTATCTTAAGAATTATTTTTGGGTAAAACGAATTTTTATGAATCATAAACATGATTCATTAAAAGCAAATCAAATGTTAACACTTCTGGACTGAAGCCTTGACTAGAGTATACCACTCAGCTTTCTTATAAGGCCAACTACTTTAGCCCCTTGAATTTAATTTGTAAAGATTTTGAAGTTCATGCCTTATCGTGAATTTCTGTCATTAAGTTCCATATGATCCCCGAACTAAGGAAATTTCAGTAGATTTAGAGATAGTGATTTCTTACTTTTTCATATGCCATTTGTGACAAAAAATAAACCAACTAATTATATAAACCTGCAAGAGTCAGATTTGATCTAGTCTTTTCTTTTTGTTGGCAGATGTTTAGTTCTATAATATTTGCAGCAGTTGGAATTGTGGGAGCTGGATACAGTTTTGTTGTGTCAGTTTTGGCTTTGAACAGAGGCCCGAAGTGTAACATTGGCTCCAATGATAGCAACTGGACGTATCCGTTTAATAATGGGTAAGATACTTTTAACCCTGTTATTGTTAAGTACATGTTTCATCACATAGTCAGCCAGATGTTCAGGGTGGATTTAGCATTTTTGCCAGTCTATGGTGTCTTTCCCAAGGATTTGGGATAGGCACTATTATTATTGCTATTCTTATTTAGCCATTATGTAACAACATGATTGAGATTGTGTGATATTATTGAAAGACAGCCTTTTTCATTCAATGCTCTTCACATATGTGGGGCTACATCTTCCTCATGAGAGAAGTATCGTATTCCTACTAATCTGAGGACACCTTGCTGGGGATAGCTGTGGAAGGCATGCTTTAAATTCACTTAAAAAAATAAAAAATTATGAGACTGTATAGAAAATATTGGTTATCATTCACAAGTCAGTGTTGACTTTTAATGACCACATAGATCAGGGGTGTCAAACTCAAGGCCCGGGGGCCAAATTCAGCCTGCTGGGTGCTTAGATCTGGCAGGCAGGGCCACCCTGGAAACAGCAAAGGACTAGCCTGCAGTGCCTCTGCCAGCGAAAATGGAGCTCATGAAGGCTGTGTGCGGCCCTTCCGAGCTCCGTTTTCACTAGCATGGGGTTGCGGGAGGCTGTCCCAGCCAAAAACAGAGCTCAGTAGCCCGTTTTCACTGACAGAGTGCTCATGCCATCACAGGTGCCCCCCCCCCCAATACGAGTGACATCATGTTGGCCAGGCTCACTACCCCGGCCCCCTGAGGTCAAACACAACCCTGATGCAGTGCTCAATGAAATTGAATTGACACCCGTGGCATAGATAACCCATGTCTAGGATGTTCTATCAATAAATTGGCCCTTCAAGTCTTACACAAATGTGTCTATCACTGCTGTAATTGTGTTCATCCACCCTGCTACTGGTCAACATCTTCTTCCCATTCCTTCCACCTTTCCCACCATTAAAGACTACTCAGGAGACCACGTCTTTGCATAATATTTTCAAAATATAGTAATTTGAGTCTGTTAGTTTGTGTTTTAAGTGACAACTCTGGATTGATTGGTTCTTTGAATATAGAAAAGAAGCCATAACAAAAAATATGGAATGGCAAAGTACATTCTGTGTTATGTGTCACCCAGAAAAAAATTAATAAAAATGGCTAGTATCTTCCCTGAAATTTATCATTCCAAAAGGACCTTTTGGTAGA